TTTCCAAAATCGTAGTAGAAGATATGAAAAGAAACATAACTGTATTGAATCGGAAAGAATATGAAAAAAATTTTGTGGAGATTTTATTAAAAGAAGGATTTGAACACGAACATAAATGAAGAAGTGTTAGAAAGTATGATGATGCTTCGATCTCAAACAATTTTCCCAAAATCATAGTAGAAGATATAAAAAGAACCATAACTGTATTGAATTGGAAAGAATATGAAAAAATTTTGTGAGATTTCATTGAAAGAAGGATGTGAACACGAACATAAATGAGGAAGTAATACTTCTAATAGAACAATTGGGATAAATGAGTTTATTGATATTAATTAGAAAACTTCACTTCAGGGCTCATTTGACAATTTTCCACTTTTGAATAATACAGTCCTCACATGTGGAAAATTTTGAATTTCTTCATCTCCCTCCTTCTAGTCAATCTTACTGAAGCCCTGACATTAAAATGAAACAAAGAATAAATTTTTTTCTTAAAGACGGCTTGAAGATGAAGTTTTATATTTCATAGATTACAGTAAATGTTTCTCAGTTCACCAGTATCAGATTTATATAGTTAACGAAGTTACATCGTTTCTTATGTGACACATTTCGAAGAAAAGCCTAGTCTAGTTAAGATAGTGTAATTGCAGTGTTGGTCAAGAATTATTAGAAGGAAAAATCAAACATATGTCCTGTATTTATGTGAATTATATATTCTGTAAATCATTCAAAATTTCAAACCAGATATCCACTAATAATATGTTGCTCGTATCAGACAGTGCTCTCTCGCCTACTGACAAAATATGAACTGTGTGTGATTTTTAGTATTTTTTCACTTTCAAATTTGTAAGTTTTGATAATTTGGTCACAAAATATGATGACTGATGTGTCGTAATATCTAAACAGGCAATATATATATATATATATATATATATATATATATATATATATATATATATATATATATATATTAAGCAAGAACTCTGTAACCACTTTGAAAAAAAATTACACATAGTTCAAATTTTGATGAGAAAGAAGTGCATTAAGCTTTATAGTTTCGGTTAAATAAGAAAACTTATTTCTGTATATGATGACAAAATGTTATTGTTAAATATCTATTGAAGGGTAGTCCATTATTATTCACCAGATACTTTTTTAGTTATACTTCTAACCCATTCACCACCCTTGTGGTATATGGTGAACTTTTCGACTAATTCCGCATTATAAGAATTGAATGTTTTTTTTTTTTGTACAAACCGTATGAAATTTTCAGATTATATCAATAAATTGAGTTATATTCTGATTGTTGTAGATCACAGCGATTTCATCTAGCCTTGAACGAAAAATAAATATCCGTGATACATTAATCTTCCCTCCCCTTTCTTGTGATATCCAGTGATTTTTTTCGAGTACCTCCCCTTTTCGAATCTCAATTAATGAACGATTCCAATAAAGCGAGTTTTGAGACATCTTTAAACGACAAACCATCCAGATATTCCTATAACACTTGTTTGACATAAGTTTGAATAATAAACACTGTGTATATTAATTTTACGTAAATAACAGTAGCACTAAGTACTTACTATAAGTAATTGCACACACACATACCGAATAAAAACTGTAGCTGCCAGGTTTGAACAAAATTTAATATAGAAAATTCACATATTGCGCAGATTAAAAATTCGTATTGTAAAACGCACATTACGGATTAAAATGGAGTGGAAGCAACATCTCGCCGTTGAGAGCAATTAGATACACATCAAAAGGGTTTTTTTCCCTGGGCAACGTAAAAATAATTAAATTCGGTTTTAATAAACAAAACACCTTAACTGGGCGTGAAACGGACGTGCCCTAAAGTGAGAATAATTATTTTTAGTAACGAGGGAGGTGTTTCGCATTTCTAATAGGTACGGTTCTCGAATTTAGCGATTCTTTTAATCAAGGCAAAATAAAACGGGACCATGGGAAATTATTTTCCCGTAACGGATGTAGACGATGTTCTATTTTCCACTCTGGAGACGATGACAATTGAAAATCAAAACACATTTTGATGAAAAAAATTAAAGTTGAAACTGTTTCTTCATTCTTGTAAATCTACATTAATAATTTTACTCACAATATGAATCTTCAAAAAGCTACGTTATTTTACTACGTGAAAAGTCGTTTGAACGGGATGCCTTTGAACTTTTCAGGTATTTTTTGTGAGCGATTTATTTTACTTCACCTTGTTCGAATTTTGACGAATTTGCACAATGTCTCAATGGCAATTTTAATCGATACTGAAAAATTATCGAATTTTCATTCAACCCAGATGAGAAAGGTTTTGACTTTTAATTTATTTTATATAATATTTCACTTTGAAATAGCTTGAATTCGGAATTTTAAAGGCTTTTGTTTCAGATATTTCGCTTCCCAAAAACGATTCATTCTCTCAGAATGCTCTTTCTTCCGTTCATCTGTCCATTTTAGTCCAGGTTGACGATTTGACTTTTGCTCAAACTTTACATGTGCGATTTTTTAGCGACATTCAGTGCGATCTTTGAGATTTTTATAATGATCTGTTGTGGACCTTTTTGACCCCTCAAGGCCATTCTGTACCACATTTACTCGTTATTAAAACTTTGCTCGTTATGTTCTGAATTCTTACGTCAATGTATTTCTCATTTGATTAAGTTCGTTCTAAGGTCTTCTTATCAAATGCAACTTCTATTGATAAAAATTATTTAATTAATTAGTTATTATTTATTATAATTAATTAGTTATTAATTAATTAATAATTAATTAGTTATAAATTAATCATTATTCAAACTGAATTGAACTGTATTATATATGAAATTATATTAAATATTATTAAACTGAATAATTAAAATTAGTTCAGTTTCTGTAGAAGAAAACTGTAGAAAAAACTTCGGTAGAAAAAATTTCTCGAAAAGTCTTCAATTATTAAATATACTAAACATTTCAAGTCATATAATATATAATATGTAAGTCATAAAATTGTATTTTCTTGAAAGTATTCCGTTCTTGCCTTTCAATTTAAATTTAGAAGCGAAATTTACAAAAAAATATAATCCAAAAAGACATTTAGGCTACAGATCAATTCTCCTTTCACCATATGTGAGGAAAATTTTTTAGAAAAATACGTAGGGGATCCCGGGACAGAACGAAATAGTAGGCACTTCTCGATATATATGGCTGATATTTAAGATGTAGCTACAATGTATGTCCGCTATTTGTGTGGACTGTCAATATGCTTGATGCTGAAGTGTAGGTGAACTAAGTAGATAAGAACTGCAAAAAAGTGAGTCTTTGTTGCAATTACCACAAATTTATTGATACATCAACTATTTGCTTCAAATAATTTCTAATGAATTCATATAAGAACTTCGTGTTTATAACCTTCATAATCGTAAATGACATTATCAAAAGTAAAAATGCCATTCTTTCCCAGATTGTAAATTTTTTATTACAGGTGTCGCCTGTAATTATAAAGGGAAGACCTATAGGCCGAAATAGAGCGAAGTGCAGTAGAAACAGCAGTTTCTAGAAAAATGGGTGCAGGTGGTTACTGGGTGAAAAGTGGGCACAAAATATTTGAACTGGTATTGATAGTGATGACGACAAATCATTAATGTGCGAATGTAGCTCATAATAAATTAATACAAACGACAGTTACTGGGATGGAACAGAACAAACTCTTTTCATTTTGTTTGTTGAACCTTTCACTTGAATGTTCAAATAGTTATTTATTTCAACTAAACCATATTTTATCACATTTACTGCTTATTTGCTTCAGTTTGATAAGAAGACAAATTTTATAATTTAGATATGCCGTTCTGCCCGGGGTTCCTCTACATATTCGCTATGCCGAGCTCCATGCCCAATAATTTGTTCACATAAATACAAGAAATAGTCGTAAAAATACTAAATGCACTCGAATGAGATTTTCAAGTCCAATATAATATTGTCCATTCAATTATCCTTTATTTTCAGGTTAAATATCAAGGAAATTGAAACATATTAATACAGAAAATTCAATCACGACAAAACATCAGAAGTTTAATTTGCATGGATGCAAACGGCACCTGCGGTCACTTCTCAGGGCGACGGATTCTATTTGGCGGGCGACAAACTCCGGTGACGTCTTCGATTTGACGTCGTAACCGGCTGTAACTGACAGCCGTCGGGCGATGTAATCGAAAGCGAGACGAACAAGTGGGATTCTGACATACGAAACGTCAATCAAAAATAAACGGGAAAAATATATTCGTTGCTTCTTTGCAACGAGTACCTATAATTTACGAAAAATGATTGAATTGGTGAAACATTTTCTCCATGGCGTATTTAATTTTAATCCACAAATTAATAAATATTGAACATTAAAGCTAATCTTCTGAATATAATTGAGAACTTCCGCTTTGAGGAATTTTTAATAGATGACTTTATCGGATCTCAAACAAACACATAATTCATTATAATTCCACTCGTAAACTTTAAATAAACACAATAATTTGTTCGGATCAATTTAAAAATCATTGTCAGAAGTGGGATTCGAACCCACGCCCTCAGAGAGGACCAGAACGCTCACGACCTGAGTTACAGGCAAGGAATCCTTGAGTCTGGCGCCTTAGACCGCTCGGCCATCCTGACAGTGACAATCAGTGCCAAGCAATGACTATTCGGGTAGTTTTCTCATAAATCTTATTGATCGATTACATTCCTATCAATTTGATTCAGCTCAATATCTTTCGACGGGAATATTAAGCCAAGTACGTTTATAAAGGCTAATGAAGATACTACATACCGTATCGTAACTACAGAATGCCAACTATTTATAAATCAAAAGGTACCAATTGCCAATCGAACTGACTTTAATTCAAAAGAAAAAATTATAACGTTTATATATTTGACTAATGATCATTAATCTCATCCTTAATCTACAGTATTTAATGACATTACCGGAATATGAAATTTGTCCATATTCAAATAAATGAAAAAACATTTGTCAGAAGTGGGATTCGAACCCACGCCCTCAAAGAGGACCAGAACGCTCACACGACCTGAGTTACAGGCAAGGAATCCTTGAGTCTGGCGCCTTAGACCGCTCGGCCATCCTGACAATTGGCAACAGTTAATTTTGAATGCATTATCACAATCATAGTTCGAAATGCTCCAATGAAAACTTAGAAATATTTGTAATTATATAATATATAATTCAATATATGAAAAATATGTTGAACTACATATTGAACTGAACACAGTGATTAATAGGTTTTATTATTATGTAATAATTAATTTTATCAATATCTGTGATATGACATTACAATTCATATCTAACACGATGAAAAGCTTTTACGAATTTTTTCGATTTATTTATAAATTATAAGTATCTACAGAGAGGAATTGAATATCTATAACGCAATTGTCGCTCCTCTGACGACTATAAATAAGACAAAATGTTTGTTTTTAGTTTCAATCTCTCAATTTTCATAATATCTATATATATTATATATCTATAGTTTTGTATATTGCTTATTCTATTTTATAACAATAAAAGACGCTCGAAAATAAAGTACCCCATTATATCATAACAAATATACGAATATCGCAAAGATTTATGTCGGTATATTAAAATTTACAGTAGGTAATAAAACTAATATTCGATAAGAAACCACATTTGTATTTGTAAAATAATGAAATATTTTATTTTTTATATCCGCTTACTTATTCAAAAAGATTAACACCTATTTATTACAAGTAGGGAAAATTAATTTATTAAGAGTGAAGCAGCTGAGTGAGAAAACTCTCGGTAAAGAAACAAACACATACATTTTTCCCTCTACAAATCTGGGATTTGACCTGGGTACTATTACCTGATAGCTTTTGACCGTTAAGTACTTTTTTACAAAATAACTAGTATCATTTATTGGATATAACATTGCTATTTCATCGGTAACAGGTAGTAGAAATTATGGCGAGGGTGTTATAAATATCAAAATACACAATTAAATGAGGTTTAAATGGTGTTGAAGTTTATTGTCAAGAAGAAAATATGAAATTCTCACAATTCTAAGTTTATGGAAGATATTTGCTTAATCTCAAATAATTGGAAAATTCCAGGTTCAAAGTTCTTACAGCTTTCTTCGAATTCCGACGTGACTATAAAATTGATTTTTTTTTATTTTATGATTTTTATAATTTTCGAACATATAATTTTTGTTGTTTCCAATTTTGCTTTTTTTTCAATTCGATATCATTTGAATTTTTTGTTACACATTCTTCGAACACAGGAAGCCGTAGTTGATTTATTGTTCTTGAAAGTCAACATCACATTAACAATTATCAAAACAATTCCCTCTGATACAATCAACAATAATTGATTTTAAATTTGAACGACAATGCAACATACTGATTTTGTTATAAATGTACCTAGAATCATTTTCGGGCTGTGCGAAAAATTAGTCAGCGCTAGTATTTGATGTTGTCGCTTCGATGTGGAAAAGGGAATTTTCCACATCGAAGTAGAGCAGAAAATCGTATTTTCTGCACTGTTATTCCAAAAATTACTATTACAAATTACAAAAGTTTCTATTGAATAATACAGTTGATGCAAATACGTATTGAAGAGTATTTCAACCCCAACATTCTTCGAATAAAATGAAATATTTACAAATCTAATTAAAATTGTCTACGCCTCGCCAGCTGTTGAGGCCATAACCATACCATTCAAGCGTTCCTAACACATGCAAGTTGGTGTCAAACCCCAAATAAAACCGGGTCATTTTTGGCCATATTCAGTCCATTTAGGCAAGATGCTTCCCCGCTTCATCTCTTAGCGCATTCAAACCGCGTCCTTCTACGGACCAGACGCAATTAGGGTAATAACGATAACCGAACAGGGCGGAAGTAGTTACCAACGATTCCGGAAATGAGGCGAGCAAACTCTTGACGTACCTAAAATCGCGACTGCCGTGATTAACCACTCGACGTCTTATCTCGACCAATAGAAACGATAACAAACTCAGATCTGTCGAGTGGACGACTTATTATTTCCGTCGGACGGAGAGATGCAATTTTCTTGCTTTACGGGGATAAACATCAGATCTTTCGGTCTATAAATTACTTTCATATTATAGTACCAGGTTCAGCTATCAAGGCAGAAAGAGGGTTTCATCATTTTCTCCCTGGTATTTCCGAGAATTGCATTATTAAATTTTTCGTCACACCCTCAAAGTGTCGAAGTGTTGTTGACGAAATATCGTGACATTATGCATATATAGGTACTTACCAACTAGCGCTGTCTACTTCCAAGTTCAATTTTTCCGTCATTCGCAAGAAAATTGAATGCATATTAACGTTATGTCTTCAGTTTCTCATCCCAAAATGGTTGAGATTGAATTCTCGCTCAACTCTTAGTGAAACATAATTAAATATTAAATTAAATTAAACACTGGTTTAATGTCACGATTATATGTAACAATATGAAATAATCAACATGTTTCGAGCGTGAGCTCATTTTCAAGACTGACAGAGTCTTGAAAATGAAAAGATTGATTTAATTTATTAGTATAAAATATAGTACTAAACACCTCGAACAAGTTCGATTTATTCAAGATACATAGCCATCCCCTGCTGTCAATCATCAAATGTCATGTCATCATGTCAAATGTCATGTCATGTCAACATGTTTTGAGCGTTAGCTCATCGTCAAAACTAAACTACAATAAGGATAACTACACTAAACAAGACTAACAAGACTAAACTACAATCCTTATTGTAGTTTAGTCTTGAAGATGAGCTCACGCTCGAAACATGTTGACTGTTTGATATTGTTAAATATAATCGCGAAACATTAAGCCAAGTGTTTAATTTAATACAAAGATGGTTCGTGAAAAATCGTTAGGTTTGATAAGGTACAAAACCATTCTTTCGAGAAAATATCAAAATCTGAAAAGAAACTCTACAGGTCCACTAATTTATTAATCGTATATATTCCTGATACAATTCCACTTATTTGATCCCAATTTGATTTGATTGATGATTTGGATCCCAACTCATGTAGGCATTCCAGACTATGAAATAACAGACGAATCTGCAAACCAAGCACTATCCTCGGAGGTAACGAATATCCAGCTCTAAACTGACCCCAAAAAACATGATAAATACTAGAACAGGCACAATGGAAAAACATCAACACCAAACTACATGTAATAATAAGCAAACCGATCAAAATCACTCTGCATAGAAGAGAAAAACCAGAGATCAGAAGATTAAGAAGTCACATCCTCAACAGAAACACTAAAGATTTAAACATGAGTTTAAATAAAATGAGCAAAAATAAAATCCACAATAAGAAGAATCTCTCTATCATTAGGATCTAGAAAATATTGAAAATATACTCAATAAGACAAACACAAATTGAAGTGCCTCTGGAATTCCTGAAGGAAGGAGGAATAGTTGATCCAATATAGTACATTTTATACTGAAATGAGTGTCAATATTAGTACCTTGTTTTAATATCCCAAATGTTGAGACAGGTTAAATAAATGAATATATGAAAAACAAATTAATAATTCCAAGCAAGTTACTTTCGAAGTGACTACACACCATAGAGGTCTTCAGCCCTCCCATGCTATATTGTACAAATATCGAGAAAGATAAAGAATGAACAAGAAAGTCGAATTCAAAGAAATATTATCGCCAATCTGTGTTACATCTCAGACTTCAGAAAAAAAATAAAATGAATTATAGTTTGATGGTATAACTTGGAACAATAATTCATGAATAGTTGACGATTAAATCAAGTCCAACTCAGTTTATATCCGTGTGAAAAATCTGAAGGAATAGTTTACTCGTATGTACTATAAAGTTGACTGAATGTTCGCTGATCTCTTGGTGAAACATTGATTAGTATATTAAATAAAAACACTTGATTTTGTTGCACAAAATTTATAATGAATATTCGACAATTGTTTCGCGGTGTTACCCCATTTTCAAAAGTTATGTTTTCATTTAATAAATAGGGTACTCTGTAAACACAGCAACATTTTGGAGGGGATCTAATGAATCTTCACTGTTATTACTATCATATTTTCTAACGACATATTGATACCGTTGGCTGGGATAATGGGTAAATCCACAACAGTATCTGACATGAAATTTATCTCAAAATTTAAAACAAAAAATTCTGTCAGAAGTGGGATTCGAACCCACGCCCTCAGAGAGGACCAGAACGCTCACGACCTGCGTTACAGGCAAGGATTCCTTGAGTCTGGCGCCTTAGACCGCTCGGCCATCCTGACAGTGACAATTAGTGCCAAGCAATGACTATTCGAGTATTTTACATTTGAATCTTATTGATCAATTACATTATTAACAATTTGGTTCAGTTGAATATCTTTCAACAGGAATATTAAGTCAATTACGTTTAGAAAGGCTAAAAACGATACTACACACTTTACCGCAACTATAGAACACCAACTATTCATATAAATCAATAGGTAGGTACCAATTGAGTATGGTTCTGACTTTAATTCAAACGGAACGTTTATATTTTCGACTAATGATCATTAATTTCATCTTAAATCTACAGGTTTTAATGATATTACCGGGACATGAAATTTGCCCGTATTTGAATAAATAAAAAATATCTGTCAGAAGTGGGATTCGAACCCACGCCCTCAGAGAGGACCAGAACGCTCACGACCTGAGTTACAGGCAAGGAATCCTTGAGTCTGGCGCCTTAGACCGCTCGGCCATCCTGACACTTGATCCCGAGATGAATTTTGATACACCTCATGGTTAGATTAATGATGTAGCGTTCTTTGGGACGAGGCCAATATTTAAAAATAATTCTGAACATCTGTTTAACCATATTGAATTGAAATTACGTATGTCCGTAACACATTTTATAATAGATTCATGAAGTCATTTTCCTTTAAAACTATCATCTGAAATATGAATGAAACTAGATCAATATTTCCAACCTTGCGGGCTTGTTCTGAAGTCCAACCGCATTCATGAACTTCCTTTCCTTGTTCGTTAAGCGGAGACTACGAGAAAAACTGCCCTCTCCGTTGACGTTCTAATAAGCTCGCGGAAGATCTTATTAGAGTCGAA